GGTACCAGGGATCGAACTTGGGACCTTGCACTTGTGAAGCAGGCAGCAGAACCACTGAGCTAAATCCCTGTCACAGCCCACCTTATATTTGCAGACTCTGCATGCACAGATAGAAATATTTATGGGCAAAATTACGTTGGTACTAAACATGTACAGACTTTTTCTTATCGTTATTCCCTAAACTATACAGTATAACAACTTTTTATGCAGTACTTGTATTAGGTACTATAAAAAACTAGAGATGACAAAGTATACAAGGAAGATACAGATATGTTAAATGCAAATACTACCCCATTTTATATAAGGGATTTGAATATCTCTGGATTGGTATTCATGAGGGGACACTTGTAAGTTCTGAGCGTGGAGAGATCAACTGTCATGATACATGAACTTTTCTTGAGAATAGAGGGTGTCTGGGGATATTTAACTGAGTTTTGTATTCCTTCTAGGGTGTTCCAGAGAAGAAGGTACTTCCAATCACCATCCCCAAGTCTCCAGCCTTTGCACTGAGGAATAGAATCCGCTTGCCCACCAAAGAAGATGAGGTGATTTCTGAGGAGTAGGAAGTTTCTGTTTCCTTCTGTATAGGCAATCTAAGCCTTAACCAGCTCCCTCCCTTCCTCCTTGCCTGCCTGTTTCCCCTGCCCCTGCTAGGCAGGAATCCTTCCACTAAGCTCTCCCTAATCCTCAAGCCTTACCATTTCTTGAATTTAATGGAGATCAAAGGCAACAACTCTTTTCTGGTATTGTCTTTAAGAATAGTATGAAGGGGCCGGTGAGTTAGCTCAGTGGAGCTACCGCCTGCCTTGTAAGCTCAAGGTCCTGAGTTCGATCCCCAGTACCAAAAAAAAGAATGGTATGAACATTTGATCATTTGTTTTGCTTCCCTGAGAGCAAAGTAGTTGGTGAGGTACAAATCTTCTGGATCTCGGTAGTAACTGTTTACGATTTATAGAAAAGGTGTGGAGGAGTTGGGCAATGGAGCTTTGTTTCTATAGCATTGAAGTCAGCCTGTCTTTGTAACATGGAGAGTAAATTGCCAAGCCTTGTACTTTATTTTGCCCAGTTATTGTCACTATTCAGTGGTGACTTTAAAAATGAGTAGTCACATCTCCCTTGTCCTCTCGCCATTAATACAGGGATTGCCAAGATGGCTGTGTGGTGATGGCTCATAGAATTGTAACATATAAACTGTCATTGATATTCTAGTTTCTTATTACATCTCCCATTGTATCTATAAATATCCAGAGTTAGGGTAATTTTATAGCAGATCTCCAGCAAAGCCTTTTTATAGGTTCATTTGAAACTGAAATACACAGTAATCTTATGTTACCACTTTGAACTCAAACAACTTACTTTGTCCTATTCTGGGCTTGGCTGCTATTAATTAACTCTAGTCACATGTGTTAGTGTAGTCTGGAGACTGGGTCAAAGAAAAAGAGGTTAAGGTATATGTTTGTTTAGTACTTTTCTTCTAATCTTCATTTTATTTATGCTGACTTATTAAGTTCTTCCAGTAGTCCTGTGAAAAATTTTAGATCTGTTAATCTTTCACTAAAGGCTTTCACATTGCTCTCCTCCCTGTGATATGGTAGCTGACTTTGCCATTATCCCTCTTTAATAAAAAGGAAACTCAGACCTAAAGTTGAGTGATTTGTCTCATAAGGTATCTTCTGAGGAGGAAGGAGAGAATAAGGAGTCTTATTTCTGAACTGCAATTTCTGTCTTAGGAAGAGGATGAACCAGCAGTGATAAGAGCTCAGCCTATGCCACATTATGGGGTGCCTTTTAAGCCCCACATCCCAGAGGCAAGAACTGTAGAAATATGCCCTTTCTCCTTTGATTCTCGGGACAAAGAACGCCAACTACAGAAGGAGAAGAAAATAAAAGAATTGCAGAAAGGAGAGGTAGGTGTTTCCATTTCTGCAAGTAGCATAATACTATTATTCTTTGATCCCTCACAGGTAACCTTTTATGCAGTACTTAACTAAAATTACTCCTTCCTTTAATTCTTCTAAGAACTATGTGAAATATAAATAGGGCAAGTAATTTAAATAATTCTTCTGGCTCAAAGATGTTAAATAACTTGCCTCTGGTCACACTGCCAATTGTTGGCCATATTGGGAGGAAAACTGAGGTTTCATTTTGGGCCCATTATTCTTTTCTGTTGGACCTTACTGTTTTGAAAACTGCTTATCCCTATTTGTTCAGGTTCATTCACAGGATCTGGAGCAAGTATTGATTTCTGGCTAGAGAAATGTTTCTCTTGGGCCAGGGATTTAGTTTAGTGGTTTCACCAACTGCTTCACGAGCACAAGGTCCCGAGTTTGATCCCTAGTACCAGAAAAGAAAAGAAAAAAGAAAAAAAATATTTCTCTTAAGTCACATGTTTTTGTTTTGCTTGTTTTCATTAGGTACCCAAATTTAAGGCACTTCCTTTGCCTCACTTTGATAGCGTTACCCTGCCGGAGAAGAAGGTAAAGAATGTGACCCAGACTGAGCCGTTTGAGCTGGAGACTGACAAACGAGGTGCTAGGAAGGCTGAGACATGGAAGCACCAGGTGGGAGATAGGGGCACCCAAGGGCTGGCTGGGGTTTGTTGGTTGACTGGTACTGAAGTCACGTGGGGTGAAATACTCAGTTATTTCAGTAGGCCCCACCCCATCTAAGTCAGGGCTCAGCACTTTTCTTTTTTGAAATACTGGGTAGTAAATATTTTAGGTTTTATAGGTTATATGTGGCCTCTGACTCTGTCACATTCTTTGTGTGTGTTTTCCTCTTTTTGAAAATGTAAAAAACATTCTTAACTCAAGGGCTGGACAAAAAACAGCTGCATTTGGCTTGCAAGCTGAAGTTTGCTGGCCTCTCTGTATGTGACCAGTTGGGAAATGTAAAAGCTGCGGCTTTTTGTGTTGGTCTGTAAGATCTCATCCGCTCCGACTGTTAGACTTAGTAATTAAACACTGTATTTATTGTTTCCTGTTGGTATCTTGGAAAGTAACAGGATGGGGGAACAGTTTCTCAATATAATATGCTGTTTTCTCAGCATGGTATGGGATATAATTGTTCTTTATAGATACCATGTAATTATAAACAATTAATTGGAGCCAGGCATAGTGGCTCACAACTATAATTCGAGTGCTCTGGGAGGCTGTGGCAGGAAGATTTTAAATTTGAGCTCAGCCTGGGCTACTCAGCAACTTGTCTCAGGGAGAAAAAAAAAAGATCTGGGGATATATAGTTCAGTGCAAAGGCCCTGGTTTCAATCCCTAGTACCACACAAAAACATACAAAGCCAATTAATTGGTTATTGGCTGGTTTAATTGGGATCTAATTCTGTCCAGTTGGGAAATTCTCTTCAGATTCCTAAGTTTGTCAGTATTTTTCTGTCATTGCTTATTCTGGACTCTCTAAAGGCTCTGGGCTGATTCTTGTTTATAGGAATCACTCTGTCTTAGTTAATTCCCCATTACTGGAACAGAATACCCAATACCCACAACTTTTCAAGAAGGAGAGGTTTATTTTGGCTCACAGTTTCATTGGATTTAGTCTGTGGCCAGCAGGCTGCACAGCAAATGACATAGTAGAGAAAAGTTGTTCACATCATGCCAGCCAGGAGGCAGAGGGGAGGTGACAGATTTCTTGTAAATTTGAATTACAGTTAAATTGTTTAAATCAAGATCCGGGTAAGGCCCAAATCATGCATTTGTTTGATAAATCTCCAAGATTCTTTCACTTAGTGGGTGCTCTCTTTGTATTTTATTTGTATGTTTGTCTATCTCCCATATTTCCTACAAATGAGTAGTCAGATCTGAAAGTTTGATTAAATTTTAGTTGTATTTGTTTGCTTTTTGGGGTGGGAAAAATATAGATGATACTACACAGCCATGGTCCTTAATCACATCTAGAGGCGTATAATGTGTAGTTGTTTATTTTTGCTGTGGTTAAGGTATTCCTTAAAGGAAGGTATCTTAGCTGAGTGGTGGCACATACCTATATAATCTCAGCACTTGGGACACTGAGGCAGAAGGATTGTAAGTTCACGGCCAGCCTAGGCTATTTAACAGTTCATATTTGGTCCGGACTATATAAGAACTTGTCTCATAAGACAAAACAAAAACAATTATCTTACAGAGAGGCTGAGGCAAGAGGATACAAATTTAAGCTGGGCAATTTTGAGACCTTAAAAATTAAAAAAAAAAAAATTAAAAAGAGATAGGGATGTATAGCTCGGTGCAAAGGCTCTTGGTTCAGTTTCCTCTACTGAGGAGGTGTATGTGTGTGGGGGTGGGGGTAGCTAAAGATGGCTTCTAATTCTTGTCTGTGGATTCAGATATTGTTTGGTGTGGGGGGATTAACTAGCATTTATAATAAATCATCTGGTATTTTTAGTTACAGTGCAGTTTAGAAGCATTAGAACTTGAGTTTATTGCAGTAATAGTGATGAGAAGTTGTGAACTCGGGCCGGGGATTTAGCTCAGTGTCACTGCACCTGCCTTGCACGTGCAAGGACCTGAGTTCGATCCCGGGTACCACAGGGGGTAAAAAAAAACGAAGTTGTGAACTCGCCTATCTGACAGACTTTCTTCCTAATAGCTGGAGGAAGAACTGAAACAGCAGAAAGAAGCAACTTGTTTCAAGGCTCGTCCAAACACTGTCATCTTCCAGGAGCCCTTTGTTCCCAAGAAAGAGAAAAAATCAGTTGCTGGTAGTATTCTCTGTAGTATTGTGGGATTAGGGCAGAATTGTCAGACTTTCCTGGGGAATGCTGGTACTTAGTTGTGTTGAGACAATGCGGAATAAGCCAGAAGTGTTTGATATTAGAGAATGGTAGCTTTTTCTTTCCCCTAGACCCAGTCTTTTGCTGTGGTCGACCTCTGTGACTGTTGAGTTTGCCATTGTACTGTGTCCAGATTGCTATAGCACGAACCTTAGCATTGTAGGCTTTTCTCACCTGTAGAGTAGTGAGTAAAATAGAGGGAGAGCTGAGTGGTCTTTCTGGAGTTGGCCCCAAAACAAGCTTTAGATATAAAACATTTTATTCCTTAGGCACTGGACACTGTGTTAAAGGTTGGGATTCTTCTACATCTATCTTAAAGTCACTGTAGTTGTGAGCAAGCTACTTTACTTGCTTTTCTTTCATTTATATTGTATTTTCCAGGGGCCCTTCAACTGTTAGAATTGTGTGACTCAACTTTTTTTCTAATGGGGTGTCCTTAGAGTTCAGCCTTTTAATTGCCTTCCACATTTCTGCCACTTACCTCATTCTGGGGTTAGGGGGGCTGGGTTTATGCATTTTCTGCTTGTGCACTAGTATTTTCTCTCTTTCTGTATTCAGAGGACCTTTCTGGTTCTCTAGTTCAGGAACCTTTTCAGTTGGCCACTGAGAAGAGAGCCAAGGAGCGACAGGAGCTGGAAAAGAGAATGGCTGAGGTGGAAGCCCAGAAAGCCCAGCAGCTGGAGGAGGCCAGACAGCAGGAGGAGGAACAGAAGAAGGAGGAGCTGGCCAGGCTACGGAAAGAACTGGTAACTGAGCTGCATGAGCACTGACTAACACAACACAGGGTTATCTCTCTCTTGTTTTCTCTTACCTGGCCTCATTCTACACAGGATCAAAGACAAAGTGAGTGAAAGATAACATCTCAACTGAGAGTAGGATGATGTTAAGATGGGCACGACACAGAGATGTATACGTGGTAACCTGAAGATGAACCATAATTTGGGCTCTTGAGAAACCAACCTGTCAGTTATGCAACACAATGCCAGTTGTTCAGAATGTATATTTATCCTTGGTAGTGAATTTAGGCAGGAATGTTTTCAAACATCTGCACGAGAATGCACAGTGATACATTTCCTAGGACTCTTGGTTATTTATTTATATTATTTTCTTCTGAGATTAAGAGCCATGCCACTGGGCATGGTGGAGCACGCCTGTAATCCTAGCACTTGGGAGGCTGAGGCAGGAGGATCACCATGAGTTTGAGGCCAGCCTGGGCTAAATAGTGAATTTGAGGCCAGCCTGAATTATAAATAGCAAGACACTGTTTCAAGGAAAAACCCAAAAAACAATTAGACAAGAATATACAGTATAGGGTTTAGGGAAGAGTATGGGAATTGTGAGGCAAATATACTTCTTTTCCCCCTCATCATACTTGGCTCCAACTCCATGGAGTTACGGTATATGTTGGTCTTTGTGATCTTGATGCTAACTCCAGTATAATTACATATTAGTTATCTAAAAAGAAATCATAATCCACATTAAGCAACCCTTTGTTGAGAGGACAGCAAGTTGTATTAAACGCATTTAATAAGGAAGTAGATGGTTTTAGGTGCAATTTCATATGATTAGTAAAAGGATGACTACAGAAATATATAAGTTGTTTTTGTCTAAAAGTGCTGAAATACGGCCTGAGTGGTAGAGCACTTAGAGTAGCTTAGTGGTAGAGCACTTGACTGCCATGTTTAAGGGCCTATGTTCAGCACCACTAGAAAAAAAACACGAAAAAGTACTTAGGCTGGTTGCCAAAACAGCTGCTGGCTTAGGTGACTGTGTCCACAGGCAGGCTTTTAGGACAAACCACTGGAGAGATCATCCTCTCAGGAACATCAAGCTAGCAATTACTGATGGAATGAGAAGTCAGTACAATCCCCACTTAAGACACTCTTACATTCATACATAAAACTAGCCTCAACTTACCTAGTTTTTCTTTAGTACTTGGTATCTGCTTCATTTGTCCTCATGATCTGTTTTTTACAGCAGGTCTCAGTATAGGCCACTGACAGTATAACACAATAATCTATAAGTTATCTTTCTACTAATCTAGCTTGATTCAGGATTGATTTTAGACCATCCAGAAGGATAGATGGGACTAAGTCTTCTCCAAGAACCCTTCCTGCATATCATTTTACTTTTTGTCTGTTGTTTTGGTCCATGTTTTTGTAAATATTGAGAGTCAGGGTGTGGTGGTGTATCCTATAATCTCAGCTATTCAGGAGGCTGAGGAAGGAGGATTGCAAGCTTGAGGACAGTCCAGGCAACTTGGGTACTTGCTTAAAATAAAAAAAGGGGGCTAGGGATGTAGTGTAAAGACCTTAAGTTCAATCCTCAACACACATACAAAAAGGAATAAGTAAGCTTAAGACTGTATTCTGGCTACTTCTTAACTTGTAACTCTGTACAATTGAATACAGCCTCATTATACCTTAGTACAGTGGTGGTAAACTTGTGGTATGTGTGCCACAGCAGGCTGTTATTGAAAGCTCTAAAGGCTTGCCATCGCTGCCCTAGTAAATCGCACTGGCAATGAGTTTGGCATCTTTAGTGAGGGACTATTGGTCTCCAAAAGCTCATTTACTTTCCCTTGTTACTCTTATCTCTCCACTTTTCCTTTAAATTCATGATTGAGATCTGTAAAGCTACACAACCATTTTCTCTAAAAGAAAAAAACAAAGCCAGGTATGATGGCACACACCTATCGTCCCATGTCTCTGGGAGGCTGAGGCAGGAGAATTGTGAGTTCCAGTCTAGCCTAGACAGTAAGACCCTGTTTCAAAATTAAAAAAAAAAAAATGTTTTTAAAGGCCTGTGATGCAGGGGCCCTGTGTTCAATATGCAACAAAATAAAACTACTATGCATAGTTCTCTCACATCCCTCTCAGTGGTGACTTTGTTTTCCTTGCTCTGCAGGTGCACAAGGCAAATCCAATACGCAAATACCAGGCTGTGGAGATAAAGTCAAGTGACCAGCCTTTGACTGTGCCTGTCTCCCCTAAGTTCTCCACTCGATTCCACTGCTGAAGTAAACTGTGAGCTGCAGATACTGCCTGGCAGCAGGAGCTGCTCATTACGTCACCCCAGGCATGGAGAGACTCACCGACAACTGTGGGGCCGGTTCTGTGGAGAAGTGTTTTCAGATATTTTAAGGCTAAAATGAGACTCAGCTAACTCATGTTTGCCTTGTTGAGACTTCTTCTAGTGGTTTCTTTTAGACATCAGTTGACCCTCAATTAGAATTTCAAGTCTCTGTGTCAGCACAGTGCAATTTCTTTCTCCCTTTTTCCCTTCCCTTCATATATATATATATTTTAATCAGAAAATAAAGATAGTTAAATCTTGAGGTAGGATGTAAGTCATGGTTTAAATGAGGAACAGTGTATCAGATTCTTTCCTCTTCTCTGTACAGAATGAGTTTCTAGTTCAGAGCCCTGTGTCATGAGGATGGAGAACTCAGTAACTGTGCCGGTGAAGACACACACAGCAGCCACTTGACAAGCTTCTAGCAGAGCTGCTGTTAAGGCCCATTCCCTCCTCAGTGCTGATAAAAACAGTTGTGCTGAATACATTTTAAGATCTGGCCAGGAATAAATATATTTTGTCTTTCCCCTCCCTGGTTTTGTTACTTGTTGTTTTAAAATTTAAGCCCCTTTTGAGGTCACATCATATTGGGGAAGTGGGTGATTTGAAATGTGGGTCCAGGATCTTTCCAAAACACAGGCTCTATCCATAAAAGAAAGTGCGATGTAATTTTTTTCTGTCTATGGCAGAATATCACTCCATATTGTGTTAACTCGCTTCCAGTAACCACCTAATCATGTGTGTTATACCTTCACATAGATTGTGCCTTTTTCCCTAGATGAATTTTTTTTTTTTTTGGTACTGGGAATCGAACTCAGGACCTTGTGCTTGTGAGGCAGGCAGTGGCACCACTGAGCTACATCTCCGGCCCTAGATGAACTTTTTTCTCATCTGGTAAATTTCTTATAAGATTCAGCCCAAGTAAAATATATTTTAGAATTCTTTCCTTGACCATCTGACCTCAGATAAAGATGGTCACTTCCTTTTGCCTTCCAAGTGTTTCTCGTATGAAATATCTCTAGTAGAACAATTGTCCCCGAGTTGCTTGTAGTTCTTCACAAAATAATAGAGATATGTCAGTTCCTTGAAGACAAGAACATTGTAGTCTTGTATTTCTTGTGATTGACACATAATTAGGTTAGGTCTATGCTAAGTAATACATTTTGTTTTGGCTTTGCATTATTTTTGAATATCTCTTCTGTCACTCATTACTCCTGTGCCAGAAAATACAAAAGTAGCCGTGTTCTGTACAGGCCAGTCCTGAGCACCATATATGACATCAGACCTAATGCTGTATCCGTGCAGTGAGCATTTATGGATTTCCTCTTACACACACACAACATTGCAGATCCAGCAATAGGTGACAGCAAGGTAGTGCTTTTCACAGTATGACTTACAGATCCCTTCCTCCTGGAGGCCATGGATCAGCTCAAAATGAGATTCTTTATTTCCCAGAGATATGTAGTATATGGTTTTACAGCCATATATTTAATTCACTTAAACATTTATGGTGCTAAATATAAATACACACACACACACACACACACACACACACAACCCCTTTGGTACTGTGCTAGTCTCTGGGAATACAGCACCGAGCAAAAAGGTCTGTGCCTTTGGTGGAGCTTATTATATTTTAGTGGGAGAGACAGTAACGTGTGAGTATTCTTCTGTCTGATGAGAGGTCTTACCATACCTGCTGTGCAGATGGACTGGGGTGGAAGAGGAGCACGTGAGACTGGGAAGGCAGAGCTGCCCGTGGGTTGGTATGGTGGCTGCAGTGGAGGTGGCAAGAATGGTTGGCTTCTGAATTCATTTGACAGTGTAACCGATAAGTCTTGCTAAGGGATTGGACCTGGAGGAGTTAGGAAGGGTATACAGCTATCATCTTCAAACAGACATGGTCTTCCATAATTCTTGTATTCTCGGTTTTATTTTTCTGGACATCTATTGCTTTGGTCTTTTCACCCCTACTAATCTCTTGGTTTCTTCTCTGGGTCTGTCCTGTGTAGCTTTTCTCTCTACTTGTGTCACAACTCTCTACCAGTTCCCTAATTCATGTGTTTCCTTCTGACATCACTTTTTCATATATCTTCTATGTTTCTGTGTTTGATTGTTGGGACGTAAATCCAGCCGTCTAACTGAGTGCTTTAGTAAGTATCACTGTAGTGAGAATTATGGACTTGGAAACCTTCCATCTCATCTGCCCCATTCTGGATTGTCCCAGCCTAGACCCCCATATCAGAGTGGTAATATATGGCAGTATTTTAGAGAAGTCATTACAAGGTGTGACTAAAAATAGGTAAATATTTAAGTTTTAAGAAGTTATTACAGGCCAGGCGTGGTGGCACACGCCTGGGAGGCTGAGGCAGGAGGATGGCTGTGAGTTTGAGACCCACCTGGGCTACATAGTGAGTTCCAGGTCAATCTCGACTACATCGTGAGACCCTGTCTCAAAAAAAAGAAGTGATTACAGCAAAGGACACAATGCCATGAGTCCCCCTCAAAATATTCCCCCTTGTTTTGAACACATGCCCTTGTTCTTGCTACTTTTGAACCAGCTCTGGAAGTCCTCTTTTGTGTCATGACTGCCTTGATAACCTGAATGGATTCAAAATGTTGACCTTTTGTTGCCTTTTTTACTTTAGGGAAGAGTAAGAAGTTGCATGTTGCATGATCCGATGAATAAGGTGAATGAGGGCACAAATGTTCTATTTGACAGAAATTGCTGTACTAGAAGTGGTATGTTAAATAGAGCATTGTCATGATGGAACATGGAACCGGTTACTCAATCTCAGGTTGTTTTTACCACATCTATTTTTTTTTTTTACCCACATGTCATTTTTTAAATGCCCTAATAAGCTCTTGTAATACTCAAGAGTTCACTGTAGTGTTTCCAGGTACAAACTCAGCTCTCATGATTTCCACCAAGGTCAAAACACACAGCATCACTGCGATGTTGGAGCTTATTAACATGCTTTTTCTTTTTGTTTTGTTTTGTTTTCTTATGGTACCAGGGATTGAACTTGGGACCTTGTGCTCGCAAGGCAGGCGGTGGCACCATTGAGCTGAATCCCTGACCCTAACATGCTTCTTTCACATGAAGAGAACTGGGTGATTTCCATTGACAACCATGAACCCAGGTTTCTTCTCCCATATGACATTTCTTAAGAAGTTGGAATCTGAAGCTATATGATCATGCAACTGCAATGAAGTTGATAAAATTTCATGTTAATTTGGTATTTTTGTTTTTTGGGTTTTTTTGAGACAAGGTCTCACTCTGTAGTTCAGGCTGACCTTGAACTCACTGTGTATCCCAGGCTGGCCTCAGCCTCCCAAGTGCTGGGATTACAGGTGTGCACCACCACAGCTGGCTAATGTGAGTGTGTTCTTAATCCATGATTTATGGTGTAGTTAAAAAACACCCTTCTCAACCTTAGTTCTCAGCTGACCACCAAACAAGTTGAAGCTTGTCACATGCTCTTCCTAATGTCTGACTTGCCACTTCTCGAGTATTGAAGACCCCTGCCCTTTATATTGGATGGCACTTGCCAGACTGCATTCACCCATATTTTTGGATCACCTTATTCATTACTTCAGAACAAGTAGCTTAAAACTGAGTGATTATGTTTCTCCTCAACACAATCTCATGTATAGTCTTGAGTCCTGTCTTGCTATGTGCCCTCACTATTACCTATTTTTTTCCTCCAGAAACTCAAACTCTCCAATTTTAGAGAGAGATTCATGTCTTTTGTCCCTCCAGGCCAAGTTCTAGAAGGAGCTTCATCTTTCCATACTGAGAGGTTACTCAGGAATTTTCCTAAATAAATGAAACATCCTGGAGATAAGAATTTACTGAGTTCTACTATAGAGATCTGGCTGCCACACTTTGCTTGGCAAAGTTCCTAATGTGCATGCACATGTAGGTTGTTGGAATTCCCATAGTTTCTGGGAAGGGCAGTTTTCAGAAGGGCTTTGACTTGTTTGTGGTTTCCCATTGCTCGTATTTTGTTCTAATTTGTGTAAGATCACTTTCACTCTTTGATCACTTTTTTCCTTGTGAAATGTCTTTCGGTTTTTTTGTTCAGTTTTTCAAGACAGTCTTGCTATGTAGTTGAGGCTGGTTTTGAACTCACTATGTAGTCCAGACTGGCCTTGAACTTTCCAAGATCCTTCTGCCTCAACCTCCCTAGTGCTGGGATTACAGGCATGCGCCACCATATGCTGCTCCTCGTGTAATATTTTGTCTGCTATTTTGGGTGCTGTTTTATTCCTTTTTTTTTATTTTCTTTTTGGTCCTGGGGATCGAACTCTGGACCTTGGGCTTGTGAGGCAGATAGCAGAACCACTGAGCCAAATCCCTGGCCCTTGCTGTTTTATTCCTTACAAATTCTTTTCTGAGGATTTTGGACCCTGGAAGGACAAGCAGAGTGGTGGACGAACTGCTGTCCTAGTTGCTTCAGCATCTAACAGAGATGAGACCTGGACGCACACAATTGTTAACAGGATAGAATGTAACTCAGTATAACATGAGACAGTGCTGTAGGAGTTCAGGATTTTTGTTGGAAGTAAAATTATACTTCATAAAGATGATTTTCTTTTTTTAAAAGTAAAAATAAGTGTTCACAGTTGGTTACTTGTCTAGGTTTTGGGGGGCTTTCTTACGGCTGCAGTGTCTGGTTGAACCCTGTATGTCCTGTGCTGACACTGCTTCTTTTGTGGTTCCCTTAAAGAAGGCATCTCTCCTGGAAGCTGATTTGCTGGGGAAGTTCTTCATTGCTGACAGAAGTAGTTAAAAAAGTTGTGAGCTGGGCTATTTCTGCATAAGCAGACTGAGTTTCAGATGAGTGGTTTGGGGCTGGGGATTTAGCTTAGTGGTTCTGCTGCCAGCGTTGCAAGTGCAAGGTCCCGAGTTCAATCCCCAGTACCAAAAAAAAAAAAAAAAAAAAAAAAAAAAAAGAAAGAAACCCAAAAAACAAAAACAGATTAATAGTTTGGATCCAGGTAGGCACTGGTCAACATTCTGAACCCTGAGCTGCCTTCCACCTTACAGCCTGCTGGTATTCTCAGTTAGAGAACGTATAAAGTTTCCTGGAGACAGGACAAGCCCAGGCCTATGGAAAGAGCAGGAAGGTTAAAATGTGTGGCACTTTGAGCAGTGACGAAGGTGTAACCAGGGAGCTGAATGTTTGCTCCAGTGCCAGGAATTCCAGGACAATATGTTATCCAGCTAAAGCCAGTGTAGTTGCTTCAAAAGGGAAGCCTAGGGACAAAAGCATACTTTCCTCTTGTTTTCTTTGTCTTCTTGAATATTTACTCTTTCCTGGTGCTACGCAAACACTTGCTGACATTGCAAATGTCCAGTGGTTTTTGTTGTTCTGCCTTAGAATAAAAGGCTAGACTCAGGCCAAAGCATGATTCTTATGTGCTGAACATATCAGCTTCCTGGAAGGCCTTCTTCCGTGCTGGTATTCCACTTGCAGAAATCATACTTGGAGGGTTAGGGGTAACCGGCTAAAAGAAATGCTATGCTTTGTTAGGGAAGAATGATTTCACCAGACTAAGCTTGACCTAAAGGCATCAGTTGCCCTTTTCCCTTTATTTTTATTTTTGTTTTTATTGGACAGAGAGGAAATAAAAGCCTTGCCTGTCTGGTGTGCAGAGACCCAGGTAGTTAAGCTATTCCAGAACATTACAGGCAGTGTGTGAATACACTGGGAATTGTGACCAGGTGCCATGGCCTAACTTGTTTTGGCACTGGTGGTACTCTTGGACCCTCCTTTAGGGGTGAGGATGAGAGAAGTAGATTGTGGAGGATCAGTATTAAATAGTCTGTGGTAGCTCCCTTGTAATGTGGAAAGTAGTTTGCGGCCACATTGTTGAAACTTGCTTGGTGGCAGAGAGAGGAGGCGTCTTCAGCCCCATTCTGACCTTTTCCTATGGGCATACACGCTGCATTACACAGATAATCTTGTGTTTTGTTTTGTTGGGTTTTTGCAAATTTAATTTTCTCCCATTCCCCAACTGTGTTTGTTCTTTTAGGTAAAATTTGTGTCCTTTTTAAATATATGAGGTAGGGGCTGGGGATAAAAAAAAAAAAAAAAAAAAGGTGTGATTGAAGAACATGGTTGAATGTTTAAATTTTTTAAAAAAATGATTGTATTAATAATTGTATTGATTCTCCTTAGAATACTCCTCATTTTGATGCTCTTACCCCTCATTCTTGCCACTTTCTGAAGCAGTTCTAGAATTGCTTTTTTGTGTTTTTAGTTGCACTGTTATTGCTGCCTTGATGTGTCCAGAGTTGATTAGAAACTCTTGTCTTTCATTGCCATTTGGACTTTGGGAAAGAAATAGAAGTTGTCTCCTCCAACCCAGTGAATACATTGGATGAGGGCACACTGTAATGTTTTTTACAAGCTTCCTGTCCATTGGATGGCACTGGACACCAGCATTCACTGTATCTTTATTACACCTCAGAGAGACGAAACGCCTGCCTGGCAGGCTCAAGGCCGTGAGTTTAACATTCACTGTATATTTCAATCACACTTGTATGTCTTTTCGGTGTATATTCTTTTGGTATATTGCGTTCACTTAGCATCATGGTAACATGTTTTTCCTATATTATTGCATACTTAAAAGTACCAGTTTTACAAGCATACTGTCCATTGTTCTAAGCTTGCTTCTTCCCAGTGAAAATGCTTGTTTTGCAAAAGATTGTTCTGGACTCTATTTATAGGACAGAGTTGCCTGCATTTGCTTCCCTCTAATGTGTCATGTCTGTATCTGAACTCTGTGCTTTAGCCATTTACCAGTCTGTCTATGTAATTAAAATATAAGCTGAGGAGGAAATGCAAGGCCTTCCCCAAAGCATAACTCGGGACGTATATTGTGGCACACAAACTTGCAGGATGGAAATGATTGACATTTAGCAAAGTCTTTTTGGAGATAATTTTAGTTACATTATTTTAAAGTCTTGCAAAACTATATTTTCTAATAAACTTACACAGCGGATTTGTTGTCTCTAAGCCTTCAGATTAGATTTGAAAGGAGGAAGCCCTTTGTGTTATGTGTGACTTTTGGGAAGAGCGGAGGACAGGGATTACGATCTCTTTCGTCCCTGACAAGCTGGGTAATGTTTAACAAATTATTCCACTTTTCTGCACCTCAAGTTTCCATATCTGTCAAACAGGATTGAGTTAGAACATTAATAAGGCTCCTTTTATCTTAAATATTTTCAGATGTTTTCCTAGGCAATTTGTTTAAACCCCACCAGCTGTACTTTCACACTTATATTTCTATCATAGCCTGCCACTCAATCACTTCAGTAGGGCGCTTCTAGTGAGTCCCTGTTTT